CTACAGAAAGAGCGCCGCCGATTTGTTGTTAGATTCGTTGTACATGAAAGGTTTTTGAAAATGATTTCAAGATTTCAATCGACCAATACAAATTATAAATGTGCTAAACTAGGCTTACATTAAAATGTTCGATAATCTTTTGAGTCAATTCGGTCATAACATCGTTCAAGCCTTCATATAATCCCTTGAACAAGTCATTATACATTTTTAACTTACCACTCAGGAAGTAATCAGGTAGCTGGAAGTCTTGTTCAATCTACCAATGATTTTTTTTTACTTTTCTTTTTTAAAAATTCTCAGATTCTTTTGTCCTTCTTCATTAATTAGCTTTTTTTAAAGGAGGCCTTTTTTTTTGAGAAGAAAAAGCGAAAAAAAATATTACTCGTATGATAGCATCTCTCCACACGTAGAACAATGATAAAATTGCTGCAAAATTCTGATTCCAAATCAAATTCTTTGACAATTTTGCTCCATTAATGAAAGCATTCGATTTTTAAGTACTTTTGCTCTCCCTCGAAATTTCAAGCCTAATCATGAAAAACTTAGGTTCATATTGAGAATTTCTCCCAAAAATTTTTGGCAATTATGAAACAGACTACTAAGATATCTTCGCTAGTCATTGTTGTTTGGTTTAATTGCATTTGAATACGCTTCGTTGAACAACATATTTGCGGCGGTCCAGTATCGTTTTAAGGACACTTTTCTACTATGTTTTCATTGTAGAAATGACCGAACTGTTTCAGCATTAAAACAATTTGAAACTGAATTTATATTCGCGATTAAAATTTTTATGAAATATTAAATGAAACTTTCCGATCTAAGATATGGCTTGATTAAAACCATAGGACTATTGATCAATAAGGATGCGATCCGGATTACAACGTGCACATTCAAGCCATGTGTGGCATTGTGTGAAATTCAAACGTGGATTCGGATATATATTTGGCATCCATCCTTCAGTATCCGTGCCTAATACTGTACTGGATGGTAATATCATTGATATGAATGACAACATCATTAGAACTTCTCAACTTAATATCTGCTGTATCTTCATTTCATAGTTCAGCAAAATTCATGCGTAAAATAGGCTATCTGTACCATGTCGCTAAATACCTGGAAGTGTCCTACAAAACAAGCTTCTATTTCAATTCGTAAACATCAGCCTTTGCATAATAACCGCTCTTGCTATGTTGCTTTACGAGCAGACGTTGTTTCACAAACAGCGCTTTCAAAAGGCAATATATGTCGCTTATTTTAGATTAACTGTGGGATCATTAAAGAAAATCAAAATTGTTGATTAATAATTAATATCTGTTACAACAGGTATTCCACTAATTATTTCATCATCCTTTAACGCCGTACGTTCTATGGAATCTCGGGAAACTTGCAGAAAATTTTGGCTGGTAATGCAATACTTGCATGAGGTATAATAAAATTGGGTGTCAACGTCGAATTTTGGTTGGTTGAAAGCTCCAACAGTAAAAACGTCAGCAGCAGTAGTAGCAACAGTAGCAGTCACTTCAATGAGCACTGTAATCGAAACGGCAGACACTTCACATCCTTTTGCCGCTTACTAGAGTATGTCAGATCCCTCAAATCTAGATCTCGCTTGAAGTTTACATATAACTCTGGTCTTAAGTTGACAACAATTTATTCATTCCAAATCTTACTCTTTCTCCTTCCTTTCACATTTTTGGGGATAACGACTGAAAATATTTGGAAAATTTAATAACTTCGCAAAAATATATGGATAAGTTTTAATTATTGCCGAAATTCGAACATTTGCAGATGCGACGAGAGTTTCCCAAGTGGATAAGTAAACTGTGCAATGACGAAATTGGGAATCATTAATGTTGTAATGTATTTTCGAGTGTTGTCACTGCTTCCGCACTGACAAAATCCGAAATGACCGGCGAACAAGCACGGAAAATGATAATATTTGGAGTCGGCGTCGTAACTGCAGCTGTAGCAATCACATCCGGATACATCCGAAAAGTGGGAATTCAAAGGGGTATGAGAAAATTGCTGGGTGGCGACCGTTGTTGTTATTTCAATTCACTTCAAAATCAATTCGATTCAAAATTCTGTCATAGAAATTTAGGTGATGACCCAGAACATTATGTGCTGTAGGAGTGTTAGGAGTGGTGTGTACATCTACGTCTCTTTTTAAGGCTTTGCCCCTTATCCTTTAATCCATTTTCTACGATCTCTTATCACTTGTTTTGTTTCCACTGGTATTGTGTGTACATTCGAAGCACAATCTTCTAGGCCTTTTCTCTTTCACTTCGAAGATTTCTTCCGTGTTCAAATTTATCCAGCTGCCCGTTAATATCATTTCAATGCGGTGTTTTCACATGTTGAGTTACATTTCCTTTGCCGTTTTCTTCTCATTCAATTCAATCCATGCCGACAAAAGAACTGAAGATTCTAAAAATGCACAAGAAGATTTTTCATTTCCTATTGCAGGTGAGATCATGCAATTTTTTAAATTTCTACCTCCAAATGGATTTCGTATTTCAGTTCATTTTGAGGGATTCCGCGGAATGATAAACGCGACTCGTTCGTAACCTCTTACCCTTTTTTATGTTTCCGCGAATCTCTTCCTCATGCTCACTATAGGTAGTGTTGGCTAGAAAATTTTAATTTTTGTATAGATTTTGTATATATGATTAGCCAAATGTGTTGAATTTGTTTTTAAAATTCATTCAGCTGAAAACAATATCATGATGCACAGGAACAATTAGCTTACTTTCTCAAATAACTTTTTACACTTTGAAACTGATTTGAAAGAATTTTTGCAGTTATGGGATACAACACAATAGTGAATATCGATGAATTTAATTGACCTTATATTTAGTGTTTTGCGAAAATCGTTTGACTGCTTTCACTGTATCCGACAACACATGTTTTTTATCGAGCAGTTCCTTAGTCTATGAGGATGTTACTGAGGAAGTTTGCTTAAAAATGTGCAGTAATAACAAAGTAAGTTTTTCAAGCAATTCAGGAATGTCTTCTATTAAATTTTATGTTATTCCAAATACTTTTCCCTGTATTATGAGCAAAATATTCATAAATACTTGTTTTAGGATAATAATGGTCGAATGATATTGTGTGCATCCGCAGTTTATGACCATGCAACCTTTATATGCACAATTTTCCGATCCAAAAGCTACCCGGAAGGTGACTTGCAAACAATGGTTGCTCCAGGACAACGCCTCTTCGAGAAATTTTGCCTAAGTGGTTTCAGTTTCATCCTTTGCACTCCATTTTTTAACAACATTCAATTTTTTCTGATTTTGAAAAGTTGTTTACGTTAGCCAAATTTTGCAAAATCTCACTTAACTAAATTATACTATTTATTTGAAAATTGAACTTAAAAAAATCAAGAATACGGGCAATTAGTAAATAATGAGTATGAAACAATTCTTCTGAGTAATTTCAAAGTTTAAAACTTTGAATATGTGTTCAGCAATTATTTCTTGCATAAAATATGAGTTTTCTCCGCTATTGAATTTGGCAATGAAATTTAGGATATTATTTTCAACAAAGAAGATCAAATTTAGAATTTAGAATTAATAAAAATATCTTAATCATTTGAAAATAAAAGCAACAACAACAAAAAAACCAGAAAATGAAATAACTCAGCAAAACTCACCACTTTTCACTTATGCACATAGTTCTTTCTACTTCACTGAAAGGCATTTGGCAACAATAAATTAAACAAAAAAGAAAACGATAGTATATCAGTGGGATAGAAATGAGCAAGAAAGATGTAATGCAGTTCAAGTTGATAAGAACAGATTACAGAAGATATATCGAGTGAGTGTGCAGACAGTCGATTCCTGAAGGTAGATCAATCTGTCATCATTGGATATGCACAAAATGTTTCAATGGCAAGATCTATTGAAGAATGTATCGAACAATGCCTCATCGAACGCTTTCAGTGTAGGGTATGTCGTTCAAAAATTGGATATTCTGAAAAATGCTGAAAGTTTGAGTGTACTATTTTTGAACAAGGAAAATGCCTTTTGTTGCGTGCGACCGATGATAGAGCATTTTAACACGAGTGATTGATTAAACCATCGCATAGATCAGAATGATGTTTCTAAGAGGATAGTGGATCCCTTAATGCGTCCTCTAATACTTGAAACACATTTTAGTCGGCAATGTATTTTTACACGGAAAGTGCATGCATAACGAACACCGAATCAGCCATGACTCAGCCAACATCATTTACCCGAGAAGAAAATGATAACGTCATTTACATACAAAACGATTGTCCAACAATACTAGCACGACAAAAACAGTTAGAAAACTCAACAACGGCAGGTTATGAACATTCTGAACAATATATCTTTTGGAATAATGTAAATACAACTCCATTTTAAACAATAATTTTACTTTGAATATTTTGAAAGAGATTGGTTGCACTGCTAGGCTACAATCTTCATTTACGCTCAGTTCTTATCACATAAGCCTTTTCATGTTCCTTTTTAGCTACGGAATCATCGCCTACCGCAGCAGATGAACATATCGAAGATATTAATGTTGAAGCAGAAACAATGAGTTCGACAAGAACTATCAACGAAGGCGATAACAACAAAAAGAGAAAGAAAGATGAGGAAACAAGAAACACGGCTGCTATTACTGTTGTCAATTCATCCAATGGCGATAATATACTGAAAAAAAGAAACGATTTGAATGATCTCATTTATAATGTTAGCTATAAAGAGGAAAGCAAAAACTCACTTGGGACAGACTCCGGAAAATTTGCCTCATTCAAGGAAGTAACAGCAACAAGTACCATTGAAGAAATGTCGAAAATGCTGGAGCGCAATTTGAAAAAATTGATAACCGGTAGCAATACCACCAGCTTCAACAGACGTCTCAAATCACTGAAGCAAACAAAGTTACAGGTTAATTCTGAATCACTGACGGCCTTTCATAAATCATTACTACTATCATGTTTCCGCACTTGAATGCTTGATATAACATATAATTACATCAAATTAACGCAGTAAATAGGGATTAAACATGATGCCTATTACAAATTCAAAGATTTGCAGTAACTTTAAAGAAGTATAGAAGGCTCGGAAATGAATCCATTGTTAAATGATCTCTAAATTTCGGGTGAGGTAGCATTATCCAAGAAAACGGAAATTTAGGCAATCACAACAATGATAATTTTGACCTGAAGAAATTCATTCACTTTTAAAAATCATCTACAACCTTAAAAATTAATATTTCAGCAAGTAAGGAAGGAATTCACATCGGAAGAAAATAAACAAAATCAAGTAGAAAAAAATTTACCATTAGAGGTTGCTTGCTTTCTTTCTTTTTTGCCACTCTTTAATTCATGTTATATTCGCAGTTATCCAAATGCAGTCTCGTAATTAAATTACTCGTCTCACTTTCTTCAAGTATCAAAATAGTAGCTAAAGGTCATAATTTCATTTCACTGTAGCCATTAGTCACAGCAGATAACGTTCTATTATTTTTTTCATCATTATCTTTATCTTTTCAGACATGAGTTCCAATCAAGTTATAGAACTTTCCCAACTTTCAGGTTAGGCCATCATCATTCCAGGTTGAAAATCAAGAGATAGAGAAAACGAATTCATTAGTAGTGGTAGTTCACAAAAGAGCTGAAATACAGAAACCAATCAAGCGATTGAAAATTATAACATTAAATGGATTCAAAGACGTGCGTTCAAACTTCAAACTTCAAGCTTTCGCTTTAAAATTTTTGGTATAACTTTCCTTAAACAGTTTGAACAAAAGAATTCATTTTAAAATGCCTTTAAATAGTCTTAAACTTAATATTTTTTAAATCTGCTCCTTTATCTCCAAGTTCCGACTATTTCTTTCAGTCCCGAGATATTATTTTTTCTGGTATTTGAGCTCTGAAGAATTTTGTTAGGAACCGTTACCGAATGCAGAAGTTCACATTCTGTAGATACATGCAAGCTTAAGTACCTCTAATCAGGGACAGAAAATTTTCTGAGGTGTTGCTTTCAGGAGAATCATTTCTCTCAGTGGAGCAACTGGTCACCATGTAAAAGATCGGGTGAAAGAAGAATAAGACGACGAAAATGCTACAATCTACAAAAATGTATTGGAGCACTAATGGAAGTCAAGAAATGTCCTAAAATAATACAAGAGCCTGAATTCAGAGGTGTTATATTTCTTTACAATTTTTTACAAATATGCAAATGAAATCAAGTTTACTTGTCTCGAATGAAGCGTAGAAGTTGCAGAATATATAAACAAAATGTTATTGGAAAGTGAACTAGTAAGGTTAATCAATTTAATCAGAGCATCTACATAACAGCAGTTCCGGATGGCCATGAATTACGAACAACAATTGACAAGAAGGAACTACTTACGCCCGTACCATCTGAAAGATTAAATCTAGCAAATAAAACAAATGTTAGAACCGGCATACGAATGAGCATTTCCTCCCAGTTACAGCAGTCACACTTGGAGAAGGAACCTACGGAAAAAACGAACGAAAAGGTTTGGTCACCCTGGCGTGGCATTTGTCAGGTGAATATTTGCATGATTTTAGTACTATCCTGGATGGTGCAACCTAACCTTTTACAGAATACGATCAAATAGACCTCCTATTGGAAGAAATAGATTATTTAGAACCTGCGAATTTTTCCCTGTCTCTTTTTTGCAAGTGAATGAAAGTGCATTAATTTGTAATTCATTGAGAAAATTGGTTCAGTTTTAAAGATTGCCTTCTAAGCCCATTGTTTCTCTGTCAAACTTCCATTCATAACGATCTAATGCCGATATTTTCGATATGAATGATTATCAACACTTCTCAGTAAGAGCCAGCAACATTCCTGTGAAACATCATCAATAATTACCCAAAACTTTTGCAACCATGAAAAGAAGATCTAAAATAAATAACTTCTGTGAATCACCTACGAACACATAACTAATGTTTACAGACTCGAAATTGCACACTTACAACCGTAGCAGAAAAATTTTGTATTACAGACTTCCTAAGAATTTTATGGGAAGAATCATCATGTGTATCTTGCTCCTTACAACCTTACAGTATCTTATATTATTAATTATTATTGTTAATCATTATTATTAATTATTATTTTATTTATTAATAATTGTTATTAATAATAATTATTATTTATTATTATTATTTAACATTATTACTATTATTAATTACGATTATTAATTATTATTATTAATTATTTCAGGAATTTGCAAGTGGCCACCCATGTAAAAACCATAAAATTATCGGGTTTGAATCTCGCGATTGTTTGGCAACCGACAATGATAAATGCAAAGGACCCTTCTTCCGTTATTGTACGATATCCTGTTGATATAGAATGAATGAATACTAAATATTGGAACTAATACTTCATAATAAATATTACAGTTTGCAGTTTTGCCGTATTTTTTCAGCTAGCGAATTTTTAAAATTGAATTTATTTTTCTCCACTATTAGCCATCATCAGAAGTACTAAACAATGGAATAACCTAGCGCTCTTTTATCAATACCAATGGGTTTCAAATATTAGTTATAGTTAAAAGCATTTATCCGAATAAAGGATATTCTTTTGTTGAGAGAGTCTCCTGTAAATGTTTCTGGGAATTACTAATTTAATTTTATTGGTTGCTCTGGCATAGTCTGAAAAATTTTAATTCGCAATTTTGCAGAACATCGCAAAAAATCTCATCTATCAAATATTTGATAAAATACATAAATGTAGTTTGCATAGAAAGATTCCGTGAAGATTGACCATTCAGTAAGAATTTTGTTCCTCGACTAATAAACACCACTTTCATATTCATATTTTAAAGTAGCTAGATTTTAAGACAATTTAAAAGAAATTTAAAAGACTACGTTGAGCGATCATCGGCATGCAAGTTTCGCATCTTACCTAAATTGTAGACTTCAAATTATCCAATCGTCTGAAAATCAATAGATAGGGATTAGTGATTGTCAGCCGAGAAATTGGTTCCTAAATGGAATATCGAAAATGTATTTCTATTGGTCTGTCACCCATTTTCATTATCAAAGAGCAGCAGCACTGGTAGATTTCGGAATTGTCTGGAGCAAGAAGGGGCCAGTTAGATAGCTTTGAATCTTTGTACTCATTCGAGAGGTAATTGAAAAGGTTGAGAGGTTCCACAAATCCTTTCATGTCACGTATCCTACGTCATACCAGTGTACTAAATAGATCAAGAATGAGGAAAAGAGCTACAGCTAACCCTCGTCGACACTCATATATGCGACTAACTTGGAGTTCTGAAAACTATTTTTTTAAATGAACGATGGGATGAAATCGATTTCTTTTGTGACGTATAATTACAATTGCACCTGTGTAAGGTGACTTTGCAAGTAGGGATTTGGAAGGTCAGTTCCTTGAGCATGTATAACGATAAACATGTTGTTTATCGTGCAGAGGTCATCCGCCTTCAAACGATAGAGAACTTTCGAGAGACAGTCACATTCTTAACAATAGATGTGTTGCTTATTGGTCACAACGCTATGTTCTTTCTTGACTCTGCTGCAGAAAAGTGAGTAAGAGTGTCATTCTCATCTTTCTTATCCCCGAAGACTGTTTTCGAATGGTTCAAGGAGTGGTGACGAACCATAAACTCATTTTTTTCAATTTCTATATTTTCCTTTTTCCGATTTTTACTTTCCACAAGGAAACAATTTGATTAGCTTTCATTTAAACATTTATACTACAAACTCATCTATCGACATGATGCGACAGGTCAAATTTGTGGTTTCTTTCTTCATATAATTTTTCAAATGAAATAGGAAATGAAACAATTTCTCTTCATGGCATTATAATTGGCAGTTGCAACAAAAGTTGAACAGCAGGTAAAGTAAGGTTAGGATATACTTTCCAAACTTCAAGAAAGTTTATTTTTGCCACATGTCGGCTGATTGAGAGAGAACCTCAATGATCTTCTAAATATAAAATCTTTTTACTTCCATTATTGTCAGAAGATTATAATACGTTGCAGTGGGTGGTAAGGAAATTAACTATGGTTTATAGGATGCTGAATTGATATTTCTTGAATAGTTTCGTAGATAATCAATCACTACAGATAAGCGCAGCATTCTCCGAGTCAACGCGCTTTATTAGAACTTCATATTCATTCATCGTAATCATCTTGCTAAATTAGAGCTTAACGTAATGCATTGTGGCATATCGTTCTCACTGCCTTTCACACCAGACCCTGTGTTGGCGAACTTTATGCTGCCATGGAAAAACAGGCTTTATTTTTAGTGATTGGTGATATATGAGAGAGTAGAAAGACGGGGCCAGCGAGACTGTGAACCTCACTAGTTCTTAATTCTTAATGATGCAGATATTGGGAATGTGGACGGGTAACCAAAGATGATGTAGGTTATTGAGTTTATGAAAAATTAACAGTCACCAATAGAAAGTAGTGGTGTTGAAAGTTATAACACTCATTTGAGAGCAAAGATGAGAAATCTGTTATTTTTTTTCAAATCTTCTAGTTGAAGTGGTTTTTCCTCTTTTTGTGATACTAGCTCGGAAAAAAGAAAAAAGTTTATCACAACCCCATAAACTGTATTGTGCAGCAGTCTGGTGTAATTTTACAGTAATGGTGTACGACATACCCCCAAATATTCTTCTCATAATACTGAAGATTTGATGTCATCCTCTTAACCGGTGGCATCCAACTAATCCTGGGACTCCTTTGATCAGTTAGATACAGCATATAGTGGTGTATCATATTTGATAAAGCAGCGTATCACATTTGTTCCATCCAAATGATAAGAGGAAAAGAAATATAATGAATCGCTAGTTTCGAGGGGAGATCATTTGAGGGATAAAAGAATGAAGTTCTCATTCTTTCATAGAATCCTCCCCTTCTCCTTCCCTCTACAAAAAAAAAAATAGAAGTGGTTTGTAATTCAATTCAGTGTGAAGTGGGACTTTTACTGGAAAGTGACAGCGAACAGATACCACTGTTGCATGGTAGCTACAGTACGTGTCACAACTGCTTAACAAAGCGTTACGCAAATCCAGTGGCAGTTCAGGTAACACCACATTCAAGTACGTTATTCTCTAATTTTGTTGCAAACTCAAAGTTTATAGATTGCGTATGTGACCAAAATATGACTGTTAGGTTGCTATGCGCTCCTCAATATCATCATACTTCCGTTCCTTTTGTGAGGTGTGACTATTTGAAAAAATAAGTTTGTGGTTGAGACAATTTGATATTCGTTAGGAGATAAGTTATCTGAGATAAGCAACAGATTCGATAAGTCAAATCTATTCCGTGATTTATATTCGTGATACGAGGAAAAAAGAATAAAAAGAATTTTGTAATTAATTTTAGGGACCGGGCGAAAGGAAACATTCAAGGGAATGTCTACGCAAGCAGCGCACAGTACTCACATCACTGTCGATGATGAAAATCTGTATCTGTGGGGATATAAAACAAATAAAATAAAAACGGTATGTTAGCCATGTGAATATATGCTCAAAGACCAAAGTTTAGGTGAGGTAAATATATATTGATTCACGTGAGAGCAGGTGTAGAGATCAAATGTTATTTCATGCGAAAGTGTTATTTTTCATATTCTTTAAAATATTTTCAGGCATTAACGTGGATAATTACAGTACTTACTTTGGGCACATTTCGTTTATTACTGTACTGGTACCCGAGGTGGTGGGTAAAATGCACTGCTTCAGGATGTTCTCTCAGTACAGCAGACTGCCTTTTGATTCAGTCAGTTATTTATTATTTCTAGAACATTCCGTATTTCATCGGTAGTGAAATATGGGTGACATTAATTTACATATTTGCGGAAAGAGGTATACAATGATAAAAGTTTAATTTTCAAAGTTTCTGAACGCGTGTAGCAAAAGGTACCAGTCAGGATGTTTAGTTCGGTGATTACCTGCAGAATGCAAATCCTAGCGTTTTTAATTCAACAGTAATTTTAAGGAATGCGAATATGGATGTTGCCTTTCGCCCGGTACTTTGTATAGTTAGTGATAGTGTTGTGCAAATGGGTTTGCCTGTAAGCGGTTTTCGAATGGTTGATGTAAGCACGTTGAGATATTTCACTTTTAAAAAACTTACCCATCTTTGGTATCCTGACGAGAACCGATTCATTTCGACTGATTCACTAGATGTTGATGTAAGTTTATGTTATTTAGTTACGAACTAGAATTTATGAACCATTTTCTTTCAGCTTTTCTTTTCTACTCACTACATGTATTCATTCCGTCTAAATTTTCTCTGCCTCCTCTTTGAATTTTTGAGAGCTTCAGCTTTTTGATGCCTAACATTAAACCGAGCTGATCTGATGATTCTCTTGGGCTTTTGCTTCAATGTTTTACGCACACTTTGTACCTCATTGTGATTTTAGATTGACTTTCACCGCTTTCACGTTTTGGCAGAAAAAGGTCTAAGTAGCGATGATATTGCTAAACGTTTGGCAGTTTATGGAAAGAATATAATTGACATAAACCTCAAGCCACTGCATGTTCTCCTATTCCGTGAAGTTTTATCTCCTTTCTATATATTCCAGTTGTTTAGGTGCGTATTTTATTTAAAACTTCAATCATGACTTTGCTCAGAAATTTCCAGTAATTTTTGATATTGAAATACGTATTATGCTAATGCTACAGGGAGTTTTTACAGCGTTGCGGTTTGGTTTTCGGATCATTATGAGATATATGCGAGCGTTATTGTTGCCATGTCTTTGTTTTCCATAGCGATGGATTTATATCAAACCAGAAAGCAAGAAAGGAAGTTACGAAGTATGGTTCATTCTTCGGCTTTCGTACAGGTACTTAGAAATGGTGAAAATCCAATGAAAATAAGTAGCGAAGAAGTAAGTTTTGATTTTCGATTTCACCTGTTTTTACAACGTTTTGTTCATTTTAACAATTGATTAACTTTGTTAGTGCTTACTGAATATCTGCACTGCACTACCGATTTCAGTTGTTACCTGGTGACGTCATTTTAATTCCTCCCAATGGATGTAATATGCAATGTGATGCTGTACTCATTAATGGCACAGTAATTGTAAATGAATCAATGTTGACGGGAGAATCGGTTCCTGTAACTAAGGTCAGTACCACTTATGTTGGTTTATTGGTCGTTCTTTTTATCTTATGGATCATTTAATTTTATGTTTCAATTTTTTAGGCCGCCTTACCAGATACTGATGACGAATCCTCAGTTTTCTCGTTAAAGAAACATTCCAGGCATACATTGTTTTGTGGTACCCAAGTACTCCAGACACGTTATTATGCGGGGAAAAGTGTGAAGGTACTAATATTCAAAAGTGGATGAACTGACTGCTAGTGAAAGTTTTTTATATGGATTTCTCGTTGATGCAAATATGAAATTTATACCCTTACCGTACCTGACTAGATATAGTGCGTTTCTTTTGTGATCGTGTCACTTATTTCAGGCAGTGGTTCTTCGAACTGCTTATACAACGTTGAAAGGTCAACTAGTACGCTCAATAATGTATCCAAAGCCTGTAGACTTGCGTTTTACAAGCGATCTTTTCAAATTTATTGGTTTTCTCGGATGTATTGCCTTTTGTGGCTTTTCATATACCATTGTGACTATGATTCTTCGGGGTACAGATGTAAGGGCAGTTATCGTACGTGCACTGGATATTATCACTGTAGTTATACCTCCTGCTTTACCTGGTTAGTGATTTTACCTAACGCTGTTCATATGAAAGAAGGCATTGGAAATTATCTGGGATTTCATAAATAATTATTATCTATACCGGTAATAATTCTTCACTGAATAGTCTCAATTGAGATACTGAAGAAATTTATTTGAAGAGTGTAATTGCATTAGTATATATAAGTTTTAGCTGCGATGAGTGTTGGAATATTGGCATCACAGATGCGTCTCCATCGAAAAGATATTTATTGTATTGCTCCTTCAACCATTAATACTTGTGGTGCGATTAATGTTGTAAGTTTTTGGTTCCATTCTGCTTTCATTGTATGTAATAAATTTAAAGTTATGTTTGCTTAAATTTTATTTTTAATATACAGGTTTGTTTCGACAAAACGGGAACTTTAACCGAGGATGGTTTGGATTTTCATTCCGTTTGTCCCGTTGTGCAAAGCAACAATAAGGAACCATTGTTTCGGCATGAGTTTCCGTCATTGAATGTCAAAGAGATGTGGAACTACCGCAAACTTGTCGAAGCAGTATCTACATGCCACAGTTTGACATGGTCAGGTTCATTGTTTTCTTTGAAAACAAAAAAAAATTGAAATAGAACAAGTTTTATCCAGCATTACATTTAATACCTACAGTAGTTACAAAGTCATTTTGAAATTTTGAGTCGTATGTAGTAACTTATAGTCGATTTGTTTTGAACAGTCAGCAGCTTACAGCATAAACGGTCTTCTCTGTGGTGATCCGCTTGATTTGATTCTCTTTAAAAACACTACTTGGACACTGGATGAAACCATGAATTCAAGGATTGAAGAAACCGCTCGATTTGACATCTTGGCTCCACCGGTTGTGCGGAGTGTTCCGGGTGCATGTGGCTGCGATCGTGAAATAGAACTTGCTATTTTGAGGCAGTTTACTTTTAGGTGATGCCTATGTTATTTTGTAGTTATTTTGTAGGAAGGAGAAGATTATAATTTAGCCCTATTGTACTGTATTTTATTTCCAAACTGCTGCTACAGTTTTTACATTCTTTTCCTTTTTACATTTCGGGCGTCAACCTGCAATTATGTTAAGATTTAAAAAATTTTTTTTGGTTAAAATTTTTAGTTCTTCATTACAACGGATGTCCGTCATTGTGCATGATCCAGAGGACGAGTCACATGATATGACTTTGTATTGCAAAGGTGCTCCGGAAATGATAGCTTCACTTTGTCAACCGTCTAGTATTCCTGCCAACTATAGCGTTTGTTTATTTAAATCATTTCGCAAAAACCGTTGTCCCATGCTTTAGAACAACAATCCTACAGTCTCACTGCATCTCTTTCCCCTTATTCTTCGTAAATTCAATCAAATTACATTATTTTATTCTTAATCATAATTTTCCCCATATATATATATTTGAATGTGAAATGCTCCAAGTCCATTATTAAAAAACATAAAGCACAGTGTTTTGAAATAATTACACTTTTAGTCGACAGTTCATACTTCGTTTTTCTTGAATCGATAAATTTGTGATTGTCCAATATTTTTTGTTGTAATGAATTCTTCAAATCCTTTGTTAATTGCGTCGCTCAGTTAATTGGCATTTTCTGTAAATAGTACTTTGCAGAATGTCGTGAATGACTACGCACAACATGGGTATCGATTGATTGCAGTTGCCTATAAAAAGTTGCATATCAGCTTCCCTAAATCGCAGAGGGTGAACAGAGAACAAGTTCGTTTTTGTTAGTAATTAAACGGCTGAGGATTCAAAGAATCATTTTCTGTTTCAAAGAGTTCCATGAAAATAATATTTTGGATAAAATAAGTTGTTTAAGGTGGAAAATGACTTGACATTGCTGGGTCTAGTGACAATGGAAAATCGATTGAAGGCTCAGACAGTAGGTGTTATTCATCAGCTGAATAAGTAAGGTTTTTTTTTAATCTGAAGTTTCGACCAAAAAATTTGTCTATGAGCTCAGCAATTGATTTTTTCTTTTAAATTAAAGAATTGATATAAATTTTAGAGCTCATATTCGGACTGTCATGGTCACTGGCGATAACATACTCACAGCGCTTAGTGTTGCTCGTGAATGTGGGATTATACAGCCTGTAAAGAAAGCGTATATTGTCGAATGTGGTAATCGTGACTCACCAAACTCGAGAATCCCTCTCTTGCTGAAACAGGTTTGGAATCTGATGATGTTTTTGTAGTATAATTATTCCGATTTAGGTATAAATCAGTCTTAAATTGAGTGGAATCTACTCTTTTTTCTGCTTGTTTCACCGCTCTTCTTGCTAAAATGAAGGGCAGTTGATTTTCGTTTTGTTTAGCTGATGTCAATTTTCTGCAGGCTGCTTCTTCGTCGGAAGATCTTCTGGATGATTCCTCATCAGTTTATGACATGGAATCGAGAAGTTTTATAGATCCTGCATATCAACTTTCAGTATCTGGTTGGTACTGCATTTGAAAATTCGCACTTTCAAAGTAATTTAAATTATCAATTGGTGGTATTATTTTCAAAGTTTCACCCATGATATCTGTAGTTGTTATCAATTAAAGGACTGCTTCACAGGTCCAACATTTGAAGTTATTTCTCGTGAATACCCTGAGTTGCTGCTTAAATTTGTAACTGTTTGTGATGTTTTTGCACGAATGTCACCTGAACAGAAACAGATGGTAGTAAACAAACTTCAAGAAGTTGAATACACCGTGGCAATGTGTGGTGATGGTGCCAACGACTGTGCTGCTTTGAAAGTACTCATTGTTTTTCTTTTATTTGTATTTGATTCATGTAGTATCATGGAAAGATTCATGTATGTTTTCAGATTCTTGGAGGTTTAAATTTTACGGTTAGTTGAGTCTTTTTGTTACGCGAAAAGGAAGATAGTTATTATCATTAGTGATTCCTGGATTGTAAAATTATTTTATTACATGAAGCTTTCAGGCAGCTCACGCTGGTATATCGTTGTCTGAAGCAGAAGCTTCAATTGCAGCTCCATTCACTTCGCGCATACCTGATATTCGTTGCGTTCCGATGATTATTCGTGAAGGTGAAAGTATTACTGTTATGATGACATTCTTATCCATAAATATCGGTGTATGTAATCAATAAGTATGCACGACTTTTTCAGGCCGAGCTGCTCTGGTAACTTCGTTTGGAATTTTCAAATATATGGCAAGCTACTCTTTAACTCAGTTTATTTCGGTCGTTTTGCTTTATTGGCTTGCTACAAATCTTACAGATTTTCAGGTTATCTCTCTGCTGATTTATATCGACCTATGTTGTTGAGTTCAATGCCGATTTCTTACCTAAATGTGTGCTTTTAATTACTGTTTAAATTTTGATGAGCTTTTCAGTTTCTTTTTATCGATTTATTCCTGGTGACAACAGTGGCTGCATGTTTCGGATACACTCCACCATGTCAGAAGCTTGCCGCTTTTCCACCACCAACGAAATTACTTTCTTTTGCATCACTACTTTCAATCGTGGGGCAGCTGTTAATTGTTTTCGTTTTTCAGGTTAGTTTTTTAATGTGAATAAAAAAACAAAGGGTATGGTATTATGAGCGCAAGAAACATAGAGTCTCTCTTGTACGCTGGCGCTCGATTGGTTAGAAAAGAACCGAGCTTGTTATTAATTTTGCAGCGCGATTTGTCAGCACATTTTTTGTATTTGAAAGTCACTGAAATGAAAAATGAAATTTATTTGATTGAATCTTGATCAATTTTTCGTTTCAGTTGTCTGTTTTCATATATACTTCAGCGCAGCCGTGGTTTGTGCCTTACTCAACTCCATTTGGAATTTCTGTTGAAGATAAAAGAAGTATGCAGGTAACTGTAGCCATTATTTATTGAAAAGTATCTCTTTATTGTGTTTTCTGTTTGGTGTTATATTTTCTTACTGTTGATTACCTAATTATCAGGTTTTTGGAATAGGTTGTATTTCAAAATGACTAATTTGATTTGCAGGGAACTGCTGTGTTTTGTTTGTCCTGTTTCCAATATTTAACTTTGGCAGTCATTTATAGCAGAGGACCTCCATATCGTAAAACGATTTTTAGTAACACTTCTCTTTGTACCTGCCTTGGTTAGTGGAACGTTATTTCTATATTTCACATATATGCCACAAGAACAGCGCAGTTTATTAAATTGCCTAAAAAAATATTTTGTAGACGAGTTGTTTTTTTTTTTCAGTGATATTAATTTCTATCTGTGTGTGGCTCACGATTAATCCACCGTATTTTGTGGCCAGACATATGCAATACGACCCACTTCCAGAGCTTGGTTATCGGATTTTTATACTTGTTGTTGCTTTCAACTACATTTTATGCGCCTACTTGTATGAAACAGGAGTTATCGAGTACCTGATTCTTACTCTCCGTGAAAAGTTGGTTACTTTATCCTTCCTCATGTTGTGTTTTGCAGAGCGAAGAGTTTAGTGATTGTTTTTGGAGATGACAGCCTTTCTAAATTTGATTTAAATTCACTTGTTTACCTTAATATTTGCTAGATAGAAGGCATTATTTTCTATTCTAAATAACAACAAGGTATATATATCTAGGTGGCGTAAGAAGCACTCTGTTGAGACAGATGCAGATATGCTGAACAAGAATGAAAAAATCTTGCTTTCGATTAGCAGCAGTCCAAATTGGATTCCAAGTGCAGCTGAAGAATCTAGTGATCATTTCGGATTATACTCATTCTCAAATTCTTCACACATTAAGTGTTGCTGATCAGGATGCTTTTAACAGAATTTGAATAGGTCTAAATTAGGGATCGTAATACATATATTGCGATCTAGCTGATTGAAGATCTGCTTAGTTTTTCCTGAAGTAGTAATAGTGGTTTTGCCAGAGTAACGCAAGAAATTTATGCCACCGCATATATATTTTTAAAAAAAGTTGATCTTCCAGGTCACTTCTGATAATGCTCTCGCTTCCTTCTCCTATTAGCTGTTGTTGCCTTAAATTTGTCTTTAGTCCTTTCATTAGCCAGGATAATGTTGTTCACGGTACAACGTTTACTCAGCATTTTTTTCAGCCAGTTTTAGAGAATTAATACAGTTTCAAGAACTGTCCTTTCCTCTTCTGAATAATAAAACAATTGTTAGTATTAACGTTAATTGTGAAGAAAAAAGGAAAAAAACAGTTCAACTACTTCCATATAATTTTATTTTGTAAAATTGTCATTTTCCATTTTTACACAGTATACGTTTTATTCATGCTGTTTCTGAAGAATTTGTAACTTATAATAGTAGAAAAATTGAGAAACCTGAAAACGAGCTTTTACATCGATGAAAAAGATTCTGAACTGATGCATATTCATGTTTTTAATCTTCGCTGATTGATATTTTGGGAAGATATTGCTGCTACCTTCTATCGCTTCCCTACGCTTTTTTCGATAACTTTATTAATCCGTTCTTCTGCCATGTTCTTGTATATATTAATAAATTGTATGGTTTTATCAAAACAATCATTTCTTAATAAAATATAGTAGCTCAATTTTTGAAATCATTCTAAGCAATTCTAAGCGTCTTAAATCTCGTGTGCTAGCTGGCGGATGGGGTTCGTGTTTGTAGTCGGACCATAATTCATCCATTGAAATAGAAGTTGCACCAACGTAAGCCAAACATTTCTTCGTCTGTTCCAAAACGACGTTCGCTAGATTCCATCAAAATTCAATTGCTTCAATTAGCCCCGTTGTGCTTCTACTTTACACGTTTCAACAATATTTTACAAGTGCGTCAGATTTGGTAGATATCCGCAGACAGCGTATCGTATTCGCCTTGGATAACTGGTTCGGACTGTATGGTGTTGTAAATTATTACGTGTACTACTTAAGTTAGATTGCATGTAAATAACGTTAGCGTGCGGTGGTGGATGAACGTGAAAATAGCACCACTGGATCAACGTTTCGTTGTTCACAAGTTGCGGGGTCACGGTGCCTATAGTTCACTTTATGCCAGTAATTCCGTTGTATATTGTCTACCATATTGCCTTTTATCCATAAGAAAACATGATACACTACAGAATCCGGAAGAAGCTTCTTCTATTAATGGATACAACAGACAGGTGTACACATGGGTTACTCCAAAGGGACGTGAATGGAATGGAAGCGGACAGTTGAGAAATTGGAAAGGACAACAATTATGTCAAGGTCTCATTTGTTGAAAACGGGTAAATTCGCCAGTGAATGAGATGACATAGAATTTTGGCTACCAGAGTAACGTTCGACCATATTAACTCAATTTGTCGACACATCATACAGTTACCACATTTATATTTGGCTGTGAAATGGTACCATTTGGAATTAGATACAGTAATGCTGAAATTTAGTATACTTCGTAACGTTGAAGAACTCGTCACAGAACTTTAAAATCTGTCTGTAGTGGAAAATAAAAATCGCCAAACCATTTTAATGAAACGAAAGACGTGTGAAACAAATGCACCTCCAGCAAGCCAACTAATTTTGATGTCGATAATGTTAGAATGTAAAGAAATATGGTGAAATTATTTTGAAATGTCTCCTAAAAGAAGCTCTACGTTTTCTTTTGTTTTTTGTAACAACATTCGAAGGAAGTTTTATAAGTATAGAAAGTGAAAAAAAGGATAGTGCGCAAAAAGCAGACTTCGAAATTTTCTCTCTGCGTAGGATTGTAGTTGTAGTTCTTTCAGGAACAAGGAACCTGTGAAGTTGGGTTAATACATCGAAAAGATGTGGGTAAGGTAACCAAACGGAATTGGTCTGATTACTGTGCGAAATTCCAAATATCGGGTTGAAAATATATTGATAAATTCTTAGCCTAACAACAAATTCCCTTCCAAGTCCGGTTACAGCCGACTCGATATTATTATACATCAAATATGCCAACACATTGATGAACGATAACACACTGATGAACGACAACAAACGAATCAGCAAAAATAACTAACTGATAATCCAGACTGATATAAAACGTAAATCGTTTCACAACTTGAAAAGAGAGAAAAAGGTTATAAAAATCAATGATGGACATGATCCCTGTAATATATGAGGAGGTTGCTGAAGGAAATGTTTCTCAATAAGTCAATAACATGCACCTTCAATAATGTGTCTTTTTAGAGAGGTTGCACAAAGCTTATAATAAGACCCTTCCACTTATGAATGCATGATCACTTTCAGGTTCACTGCACACGCACACTTCCCACGACAAACGTTAAGGTTCTACAGACTGTAATCAAACAATCAAGAATACGCACATCTCGCGAACTCACTTATGATTCCTTCGTATCGTCCACAACAATAAACAACTTCTGGATGAACTTGGTCATTATTTCTGCAATTTTATTGCCTTCATCAAGTTAATTCATTTAACAGATTAAAAGCAAAATGTAAAGTAGTGAAGATTTGATGAAAAAAGCAGAAAATGGTGTGCCGAAGCCCTAACCATTATCTAATTTATTCTTGAGGCCAGTAATGAAATATAAAGAATAAAATGCTGAAGTACCTGAAGCCGTCTCAAAGCATTCAGGCTTACTTCTCCATGCCACAAATATCAAATAAACAGGAATCGCGGTAAGCATTATTCCAATACCAATTGCTGAAAAGAATGCATCTTTTACAAATTTAGAAGGCCATTAAATCTATCGAAAAACTACAAATATACGAGAAATTAAAAATCTCTTTTGAATTAAATGAATGGACCTGTATCCTTCGGTGAACCAACGATAGGGACAACCACTAAAGCAATACATCCAAGGAGAAAAATTATCGGGAAGGCGAGATTGACCTGGAAAAACGTGACAGTTATGGAGGTCAAACAGAAAATTGGCACTAATCTCCAAGGAAAACGAAAAACACAATTCAGAATACCGCACAAAATACTAACCTTAATAGGCCTTTCAGCATCCGGCATTTTTTTTCGTAACCAGAACAGCGCTGCAACTACGCAGGCAATAGCCAACCAATATACTATTTGGATATAATTGATAAGCGAAAAGATATTGTCCGATAAAGCAAGGAATGCTATGGAAAGAAGCCCCTAGAAAATATCACAATTTTACATACCGTAAAGTAATACTAAATCACTAAAAATGCTAGATTAGCATTGCGTTACTAATAAAACATTAGAAATTAATTACTAATGCGCCGCATCATACTAGAAAAGTGTCCCATAGTGTTCTGTTATTTCAATTTCAGATTCAACTTCTCAAAACCATTCATAGAAATTAGAGTTTACAAAAACATGACAAACCGTGAAAATGACTGCAGGAATAGGTGTACGGGTATTTTTATTGATCATTGTTAAAACCATCGGCATGTGTCCTTCCCGTGCTCCAACGTAAAACAGTCTGGAAACCAACTTGATAAGCAAAAATCAGAATCTTTAAATCTCGAAAAAGCCTTATTCGAAATTAATTCCAAAACCTCGATGAAGTGAAAATTACTCCATTTGCTGAGCCAATTGTTGAGCAGGCAACAAATAAAGGCATTACAAAGGCAAATGGTCCAAACATTTTGTTAGCGAATTCCTAAAATGACAAAAAAATACGCAGTTGTAGTTTGAAATTTAGAATTTATTAAAAATTTAATACACAACATCATAATGACATACGCTTTTCCAAATAAATAAGCAAATACTTAAAGGAGAATAGTATAAATACAACTTACAACGGCAACTGCTGGACTACTCAGCATTTCATCAGGGGTGATGACCGTATATAAAGCAACATTCGTTAACGTATAGATTACCGTGCACAGAGTACATGATATGGCAATTGCCAGTGGTAAATTCCTGAAATAATTTCTCAATATTCCATAGTATTAGTTCAACTATACAACGTGTCAAACATAAGAAGACATCATTTATCTTGCATATCAATATTATAGACGCGAAAAACAAAAGAATAAGAGATACATAATTGACAAATTTCTCAATTCATAGATCAATATAATTACCTACTTGAAGATAGCTCAAATAAATCGGTATTACGCTATACCATACGAAAGAATTTCTAGTAAGATTACACTGCAGTACTTGGTAAAAAGCAGTACCGTCTCGGATTCTGCAACTCCTCAACGATGAAATTCAGATAGTTCCATCCTTGATATGCAAAAAGACCGGAATAAAATGCCAGAGACGCAGTTCCAATGTCAGGCGTCGTATTCTCGAATATGTTTTCAAACGATTCCCTGTACTGTGGTTTCCCTGCAATTATGTGCACATATAATGGAATATAATCTAAAATTATTAAGCACAACTGCAAGTAAACCATATATGCTGTTATTATCCTGAGAAAGACGAGAAATAAGACAAAAGGGGGCAAAGAACAATACATTACAGAAAAGCAACCTGATATTAATAGCAATGCACCAGTCCCAATAATCAAACACAGTGCAAAAAGCTTTGCAACAGTGAAAAAATCTTGAACGAAAGTTGCTAATCGTATTGATATACAATTTATTGCCGTGAGAATTACTGTAACAAAACAGAATATTTAATTAAACAATAAAGATGATTGTTCACATAAAAAGTCCCCCAAATATTACTGAATCTTCTTTATTTTGTTTTATCCCTATTCTTCCTTCAATTAATCATCTCAAACAAATTTCAAATAATTAAAATCATTACTGTAAGGACCTACTAAGCAAAATTGTTGCAAGCAAAGCCGGAAGTCCGCCAGGCGGTTCACAATTCGGATAAAACGGTCGCAGCATGTAAATCGCAAAAGTCAACGCCACAACTGTGCAAGTACACGGTCTGCAACCAAATATGATGAAAAGTAAAAATGGAAGATATGAAAATGCAACGTAAAACTTCTAACAAATATGGCATGATTCTAAAATTCACCTTACTACCACAGCTTCAACCCAGAGACGTATGAAAGCCAGAAATGGCCCAAATGATTCCATAATATATGCATAATCTCCACCCGACTTGTGAATTAAAGTGCCAAGTTCGGCATAACAGTATGCACCAATCGTAGCGAACAAACCGCAAGCAACCCAAATAATCAGCGACAATCCGACACTTCCTGCTTCTAAAATTAGAAATATATATCAATTGAATATATATCAATTAAAAAAAAAATATATATATATATATCAACTCCCTCCTCCATTAACTCTTTATAATGAAAGAAATAAATGATTTAATGAATTCTTATATGATTCTAAAAAAGATAAAGAATGACTCTTACTTTCCTGGACACCTGTCGGAGACACGAATATCCCAGACCCAATGATACATCCGACGATTATAGAAACACCATTAATCAATGTTAGCGATTTAGCAAGGCCAACATCGTCATCTTTCGGAGAAGCACCATTTTTTGAGCCCATCTTAATAATGATAGCAAAAGCTGAAAACGAGTTCTATCTCATTTAATTAGTCAGTACTACAATGCAATACCCCCAAAAAAATAATTAAACAGCTACGTAAATATGTGAACACAGGTCAGTAAGTGAATAAATAAATACATATACATATAATTGAATAAATAAATACATATACATATAATACAATACAATGATATAAAGATTTGTGATGCCACGGTCAATAACCTTCAATTGAAGCATGCGAGTAAAAATAAAACTGAACTAATGGAATCACCAGAGAAGTGTTAACAACCATCAACAATCTTTTTGACAGCAATCTGTCAAATCTCAACATCTGGAAAGTCCGAATCAATGGGAATATCCCGAATCTTTTAAAACAACCCAATCCCAACATATCCCCCGATACCACTTGGACTGGGCTTGGATAACTATGGCCGCATTATGAATTAACGATATCCCAACCTAAACAATTGGCTTAATACTTTTCTGTTATTGGGCGATCTTGTAATAACATATAAATACTGTAACTAATAATTATTAGTATGATTCAACAGCTGAGGATAAAATCTTTAACAATCAATTGTTGAAGAAGTCGCTCCGACTAGAATCACCGGTGTCTGTCTGCTTAAACATTCAGGTATATCCTTAAATACTTTTTAAAATGTCTGGTCAAACAACAGATATTAGTCTTTCCACTCCTTTAGTTTACAGTTGTCCAAGTAGATTCCAGTGCGATTGCAGGAAGTATTCCACCTTTCCGTCCTTATTCCAGGAAAATGATACAGTTAGAACAAACTTCTTCCCTCCCACTTCCGCTTTTTCCGCAAACCGTTTTGTCATGCAAAGTCACAACAATCAAATCTTTCCATTAGAAATTTTTGAAACAAGAAAAAAAAACGTAGAAGAGGAAGAGAATTAAAGGACGAAGACCGCATTTAAAATGTTAATTTTTGATTAGAAGCCCTTTTTGTGTGATTTCAAGAATCAATAGTGAGGAATTAAGATTAATACCGGTTAGCGTCTCTTTGTGTAAAAAGCTCTTCCCTTTTGCATCATTCTTTCAGACATTTTTTAGATGTCATTTTTCACCATTTATTCACAAATCTATTCTAGTAACACATTAATTTTAATAACTCCATCTTGCAGGGCTAGGGTGCCAATTGCTCTATTATCGGCCCATAGTGAAAGAAAGAGCAATTTGCTTAGTAGGACAAGGATTGGAAACAATCATTTCACGATGAAAATTTACGCCACTTCATCTGTATCTCGTTTGTTTATTTAATATTAAAATTTAAAATTAAGTTGCTGAAATCCAGAATCTGAACCTACCGAAGACAAAAGTGTTGCTGTTGAATAAAAAATAGACTAATCCATTATGATGACCCACTTGATTATTTCAAAACGTATATGGTGTGATGTGAATGGGATGGTACCTGATGCGGTTAAGGATGTGAGATGAAGCAGTTTGTGGGAAAAGATTTGAAGCAAAATGTGCACCATTTATTTGTTGCTTTTCAAAATCAGCCCCTTTAATAAGGGAATGGCACCGGATCAATGCCATGATTGTTGTCAAATTAAATTCTGTACCGCCTTTCACTGAATGGTTGATCACTCTATCACTAAGCCTTCTATCAGATTTATAAACAAAATTTTTTGACAAAGGAATAGTTTTCGATCCTTGTTCTCAACATTGCAAAATCAAAAGCAAACGAAGGGTCGGAATGGAAATATAATAATTGGCGCACGAGTGTTATTTTCCTCAAGCAGAAAAATAGACCATCAGCAAATATATTCTTAATCCTCCTTTTGCAGTCATTCATTCAAAAAGTACCGACTTTTGGTTGGAATTGCTGTTATCGCCCTAATTTTAATCAGTTTTGAAGCGGTTGCAGTTTACAAATCAACTTTCATACACGCTGAATTTGCTTCGCAAATTTATTTTTGTAAACAATAAACATTAAAAATCATAGGGACAGAAGAGGTATCTAACTTGGATATAAGACAAGCTTGCAACTTTATAAGAGGTGAGTGACATTATCGAAATGCCGCACCGTAAATATACAAATGCATACAATGTTGCAATTATTTCTGCAATAACAAGCGGCAATAAAATATTTACCATAAACCGTAAAATTTGGGAGCTTTCAATCAGACGTCAATTTATGTGTAATCATTTCATGTGCTGTGTTACTGTTCGAGTGTATGTGTTTGTCATTATACAATTTGCTAGTCTGCATGAGATCGATCGGTAATAACAATGGAGGTATTATTATAATGTTTGCTGTTGCATTCCTCTCGTCCCTTCCATACCTCTTTTAGAAACAATCCTGGCAAATTATGAAGTATATCGCATTCCACTCGTCCCTCCCACACCTTTTGCAGAGACAATCCTGGCATGTTATGAAGTATATCTCACCTTCTCGTTAAAGGCAAAACTGTATCGTAAGCGTTGTTTCGAAGAGCTATTGGCTTTATTCTTCGTCACCATATGTAGAAGGTCACTCAATAGCTGCGAGATTTATGGGTGAGAAGAGCAAACAGAAACAAGTCATCATCATGTCTTATATTAGAAATCAATATTTCAGGCCGATCTTTGATCAGAAATATTTTTCCGTTTGTTCGGAAATGAAAAGTAAAGGATGAAATCAGGTTAGGCGTCTGGGAATTCGATACAGTGTTACGAAAAGTAATTTGACCTGTAAGGAAATGTAGATAATGCATGGAGGAACAGAAATTTAATTTCCACCATCAACGTCCATATGCTATTCGAAAATGGAAATAATTTACAATAATAAATATGTATGTCTAAATGGTTAGAATAGTATGTGTTGCAGAAATATTTCTCACCAAAGTGATTCATAATTTGTAAGCTTCGAGCACTACTTCTGTAGCTTACTCGTATTGCGAACTAAAACAACCTGCTTACTTAGTTCCTGATATAAAATCATTCAGTTAACCTCTAACATCTACTGACATCAAGTCCTTTCTTAATCAATAAAACTTTATTCAAATCATTTATCTGTGATACGCGACAAAAAAGGACTCTATGTCCCCTAACAAACAAAAAATTTTTTCACAACACACATACACACACACACACACACACACACACACACACACACATTAGCAGAACTTCGATCACCGTTACAACCCCTTGTTTCGTGAAGACTGCTTTTGGGCTATCATTGTGCTTAGTCGAAATTCATCAAGTGCCAGTGGTTTAGAAATGGAACAAATGAGGGAAAATAGGAAAGGAAGGAAGGTACACTGATGCCAACATTCATTAAAAGTATGAAAAAAAGAATTGTAAAAGCGGAGTAGACATAGTTTCAAAGGGCTGGTACCATATGAAGTGAAGGGCAGTTTCTTGTTTTCTAGGAGAACATCGATAACTCCAACAACTAAAGCACTCTCAAAAATGTTTTAGAAGAGTGCAATATTTAAATATGCTACTTAGATATGCAGAAATATATTAGTATCTTTGCAGACAAGATGACAGTTAAATCTTTGATGCACTGCATTACCCTATCTTGCAATACGAAAATACTTGTTTCCGTACGGGTAATAACGCTAATTTAGGGAAAAAATTTTCCGATTAAATATCTCACTCAACACTGGATTTTACAAATAATTTAGCACATATTTGAAAACTTTTGAATGCTTGACTAAGAGCACCATTATACGGTACCGTTCCAGGTACCCGATTCTATCATCAATTTATCATGTAGAGATTACCTCTCTGATTAACCTAATCGATTAGTCATCGAATTCTAAAATAAACAAAGAACTGTCTTCCATACAGGATTCCAGATAACTCTAAAAAACAGCAAACGGTAAGTTTACAGCTCACAACATTAAAATACAACAACCATCTCACAAACACACGACATTTCCTCGCGTATCACCCAAATATGCATTATGATTATTACAGCAGCACTTAAATAACTGAACATGAACATATATACATGCGCAGTTCCACTACTTTGTACCGTACTTTGATATCTTACCTCAACTTGTGCAGGTATCTGCATCGAATCCTTACAATGAATTCAAGAAATGCTCACTGGTCAGTAATGTTCATCCTCCCGACTCTGTCCAATGAAAATTTCCAGTAATTAAGAGTCTAATCAAGTTAAGTTTATTTTTGAAGGAGTGACGAAGACAAATTTCGAGACTGCTGCAAAAACACTTGAAAAGATACCATAACCGTCAGTTAGCTCCATGAGAGTACCCGCCCCTTCCCGTTTCTCCGTTCTCCGGTTATTGTAAAGCGGTTTATAGCGAACTATGCATGTAAACAATACTTTGCTTCCTTCTGTACTCTCGCATGAGCACCTTTTGATGAATTATTCATGCAGGAATTCACCCTTCCTCCAAATATGAAAATGTCGAAACATTGCACTGTCTATCATTGCCAATATCCCTCTCTATCCCTGCCTTTTTTATATCTACCACTTTCACATTTTACAGTATATTTCGCTGTCCTCTTCGCTTCTATCACCATTTTACCCTATCAGTATTATCTATCTCTGTCATCTCTTCAATTATCGTATTATTCTTTGTCTCGCCGATACTACTCACAACCTACATTTGTATGCCTACAGCGTGCGCCGTAAACAATTCTCCGTGAACAGATGTAATAAGTAAGTTAAGTGTTCTGCACGGTCTGTTGCGATTCCCGGTATTATTTACGTGTTTTCCTAATTTCATTTCAATCAGTACTTTTTTTTAACTCTGAATAATATGGTTTTTTTCAAATGTTATGCATTATTACAAACCATCGCATTCCCATTTCCGTTGTATCCATTTCTTGCGCCTCTTTTTATAGTTTTTGCTGCTTCACTTATTTTATTTTTATCAATAACTTATCTCTGTTCATTTCAAAAACTCAGTAATCATCCATCATATTGCTTCACATTCGATGATTTTATCTGACGTTTCCACATTCCCTAACGTCTATCTGGCATTTGTTTTGTCGCGACATTTTTATTCCAATAATTTGTGATGATTAATATTAATGTTGCAAATTGAGATCGTTGCTGTATATTATCATGACTGTTATAAAAGTTATTTAAATTGTTATTATTATTATTATTGTTTCCTTTTTTTCTTGATTCAGAGCCTGGTTACCATCAGACACTGACTTCGGTACGTTACTGGTTTTGCTATGTTTCAGGACATCGCTGATTCAGACTATGAATGCTGTGGACGTAGTTGTCCTCGTAGGTCTTCTCGTTGCAGTTTCCTTTTTCGGCTTGTTCACAACATTACGCGGCGCAAAACAAACATCCGCTGCTCAGATTCTACACGGATCGAAGTTTGTACTCTTAGCTTATTCTTCTTGAAAATATGAAATACGCGTTATATATGTCTTTATGTGAAACAAACCGGCGATTGAAGATTGAATGGGCAATGGGCAACAAGAATGCGATGGGCAACTAAATCTTTGTTAATTCTCGTATGAAGATAGAATATATTAGAGTAGTGACTGGATCTAAAATTCTCGAGGCATGATTTGATAAGAATGGTCAGATTAGTAATTTATTAATAATTGTGGGACTAATTCAGGATATCATTTTGTTGGTTTGTTACAGTGATTCCTGAATGGGAAAGCAGAAATAATTTTTTAGCGTATCTGTACTGACATCAGCTTTATCAGTTTGTTCGGGATTTCTTTCCGCAATTTCACTTCTTGGATTTCCTGCAGAGGTATATGTACTAATCAAATTGTTCAATTAAAAACGTCACTGTTTAATGGTTCTTTACTTAGTGGATAATTCTATCGAATTTTTTCATTTAATTGTTTAAAATCTTTTTCATTGATTGAGGATTTACACAGATTTTTTTTCAAAATTTAATCATTCTTGTGTTTATTCTCGTTTTCCGAAATTTGCACCAATTTGTTTGCTGAACTATGAATTTTCGTCTAGATCTACTACCAAGGAGCAATGATATTTTGGTATGGTCCGATGTACATGGTGGCATTTCCTATTGCAGCTTATTGTTTTTTGCCTGTTTTCTATAATATGAAGCTTACAAGCATATACGAAGTTGGTATTTTATCTGTCATTATTGAGTACTCCATGGTTGTGGGAATTCTTTCAACTTCAGCCTTTTGTATTTCTAGTATTTGGAAATTCGGTTCAATTTTGCATGTCGGTTTTTGGCTTCACTTATCTTCTGCATTCAGGTAACAGTGCTTTGTTTGATTGTTACAAAGCTTAAATTGATGCTTTCATAACAGGTTGTTTTGACCAGCCATATCGTTGGTTGAAAGTGTTGATTTGGCTTAACTGATTTTCTACACGAGTCACATGCTTCAACTGATGTGGCGGCTTTTTATAATATGTCCCGTTAATTATTTCTGCAAATCGGAAACTTTTTGAGTAAATCATGAAAAGTGATTCACAGCATATTGAAATGTGGAGTTGCAGAATCAACATCATAAGTCGTTATCATTCTTGATCGAATGGCAGTCACAACTGCCGACAGAATGACAGAATGTTGTTTCGAGAAAGTTTTAAATTTCAAAGGGTTTTTTTGACATTTACTAATGTTTGAGTTGTGTTGCTGTTCAGATATCTTCTGTTGCATGAAGAAGGTTCTGTGTAAAAGAATGCTCATGAATTGTGATTATGGAACAGATTTAAGAGTGAGCTAAAATTGTGGTAAGTGGAGGTAAGTTGGTGATAAGCTCAATCTCTTTTGATTTCTTCACTAAAAGTAAATTAAACTTTCAAAATGACATTTTCACTTGCAGATTTGGCTTTATGTTAGTGTGGCACTGTATGCACCAGCACTTGCATTGTCGGCGGTTATTTCCATCCCGTTATATGTGTCAGTTATTATGACGGCAGGTCTTGCCGCACTTTATGTGACGTTGGTAAGTTGCTGTATTAGGAAAGAAAGATGTTTAATTGGACAAATTTTTTTCAATTGATTCATGGTCCAACTTTCAGGGGGGCGCAAAAGCAAGCATATATACTTCGGCTTTACAAATGGCACTAATTTTAGCAAGTATGGTGTTGATTTTTTCAGTCAGCTTGTATCAGTTCGGTTTTAACAACGTTTTAAAAACTGCTGTTATTGGAGGTCGTCTGCAGTTATTTGAGTAAGCCTTTGATTATGCTTTTAAACGAAGTGTTAGGCAGGCTTAAAACGAAGTAAACTCCAATGCTAACTAAAAAGACCACGGAAAAGAACTTTGAAGAAGATCAAGAATAATCTGAAATCTTAATAAAATTTGTTTGGTGTGGTCTATTTCATCGGAGAATAATGGATTACGTACGCTGCACTTCAAAAATTTTCAGTTCTTTGCAGTTTTCGAATTGATCCACGTATCCGACACTCGGTTTGGTCCTTGGTGATTGGTGGTATAGGAAATATATTATGTCTTTTTGCGACAAATCAACTTACAATACAGCGTTATATGGCAATGAGTTCGCTTCGATCTGCTCAATGGTAAATTTGTTCATTAGCTTATTTTGGAATATCTTGTTGATGATAATTTATGGAATGACACTTTTAGGGTTATTCTGCTTAATATCCCCTTCAATTTTCTGATTCTTACGACATATATTGGTGCAGGACTGATAATATATCACAAATATTTTCATTGTAACCCCGTTCTTCAATCAAAAGACCAAGTAAGTATTGTAATGTTCTCACTTTATTTTGAATTTGGCACACCTAAATAATTTTATACATTTATTATAGCTCCTTTTTCTATGCATTCATCAATTACTTTGTTTATTTCTTCGTTATAAGTTTTGGACAAAAAAAATCCTCAAGTCGATATTGCAAGCATGTTCAAAGTTTATGTTTTCGTCAAACCATCTTTTATTTTATGAGACATCCATAGCTTACCTTGCAGCTTTTTCCTCGTTTCGTTGTTGATGAGCTATCCGCGGTACCTGGAATGGTTGGACTTTTTACAGCATCTGTATATAGTGCAGGTTTAAGGTATGATTGGAATAATAAAGTTTTTTTTACTATTGCATGCTATTAGAATACCCTTCCGAAGTCGAAATGTCATAAATTGTTTTTAGTCCATCGCTAATCCGTGTACCGAACATGGAAAAGATTAGATTTCCTGATGTTTCAATGTCAGAAATAAAATATATTGTTTTTAGTACGGCGTCAGCTTCGTACAGTGCTCTTGCTGCAGTATTCATCGAAGATGTTGTTAAGCAGTTCCAAACTAAGGTGCAAAAACACCAATCAATGAAACCAAATACTAGTATCTTATTAGCGCGATATCTTCGTATGCCTTTATTGCTGCATAATTTTACTTTGTTCCAGACTTAATGTCAGGAATCTGCACTTTATTTCTCTAAAGTAATTATTTTTCAGCATTATTGTTTTGTTGTTTATCAATGATAGTCGCATATCTTTGTAGCATAATGAAAACGATGATGCTCCAAGTTAGTTCTTGCCTTACTAGTTATAAAGGTAACTCTGTTGTGGCACAAAATTTTTTTTGTTCGTCGTGAAAATTCATATATAATTTTTTTACAGATCTCATTTTCAATATTCGGAATTGCTGGAGGACCCGTGTTGAGTGTCTTTTGCCTGGGCATGTTTTTTCCAAAAATTAAGGGACTGGCGGCTTTTGTTGGTTAGTATACAGGAACATACAGTATTATGAAATAGAGATTGAAAATAAAATGACTATAATATCAGTTAAAGGATCTGAGAGGATGTGATTCTGCTGAGTTTAAGATGGAATTTTAGCTCAGGTGACGTCAACAGTTTTCTGCGTTTTTATTGCTGTTGGTGCATTGGTAAGCAATGTAAGACCCGTTGGTTTACCAATTGATAAAACTTGTGATCAGAGTAATGTCACTTTGATATTTGTTGGAAAACCAGAGTATGGAATGGTCCATCCTTTACAAAGGTATACTTGTTACCGCATTTGATATTTCTTATCTATGTGGTTTACTTTATTGTGTTCAAACTGAAATCTAACATTTCAAATTATTATCTAAAAACTTTGCTGCGGACTACTACTCATTTTTCAGCAATTCATGGTTAATTGAACTATTTCGTCTTTCTTATCAGTACTACAGCATCTCTGCTATGTTGGTTGCGTTCGTAGTTGCACATGTTGTTCAGTGCTTTTCAGGTATTTTTGGGTTTTTTCAATCAGATCAACATCTGTTTGTTACCGGACAAAATCATTTTATAACCTAATGATTTCAGGAAATACTGAACATTTGCCAGTGGAAGCGAGGTTGCTATCACCTATATTTTGGTCAGCACATAACCAAAAGGTTAGTTTGTATAGCTGTCTTGTTTTTATCAATAATTACCTGTCTACTGGAAATCAGAAGTCTGTCGTAGTGTCACAAAGTTACTTTGAATGCAAATTGGTTTTCTGAACTAATTCTAATTCTTGGTGCCCGTTTTTATGTTTTTTTTAACATAACTCTTATATGAAAAAATTTCGATCTCGGTGGTCTTAGGAAACTATGCTGGACTGTGCTAGAACAAAGAAGGATGTCGAAATCCCGCTGGGAATTATCAGATAAGGAGGCATTATAGTACGAACTATCAGGCATTATAATATCTGTCTTGTGTATTGTAGTATCTGTCTTGTACCATTCATTTTCTCAGGACGCTTGTTCAACTATCCTACGAAGTACTCTATTTACTCTTATGCTTGACTTGCTATCCAGTGTACTTCGTTAGACATATTTCGGTGACTGGCAATGAATTACTTTTAATTTGTGGTTTCGGTTTAGTATTGGTGCACAACTTGTAGATCGAGATATTAACTCGTTGTTGAGTCACATCACTTCAAATGCTTTAATATTCGCTGCCAGAAACAGATTTGTCAAGTTGAATGTTGTAACTTACATGTTTACGGGTAACATCAATTTATACTTTCTGTAAAATGATAAATTCTAAATACTTGAATATTAATCATCAATTGTTGAGCTTGATTTGTTACATTAGGATATTCTTTTTTTGAAGGAAGCATTTCCTGAAGAATTTTTAGTTCTACTCAAGTACTGCTATCTCTAGTATTTTATTTGTAATAGACTTCGAGTACTAAATGAATTTTGAATTTTCAAGAATGCGATACTGTAAGTTTCTCGTTCCAGAGATATAAAGTTGTGATAGTACCACTTACAAGCGATAAAATGTTCCAGAATAGCATGCCAGATGCTACGGTTATGGTTTACACTTTAAAATAAGATTTAATGGAGCTCATTCGTCATCCATGTCCATGTTATGTAACTCAGATCATTCTTTTGAGTGGAGGCTCGTTTTTCTAGAAATACTTCAGTTATTTCTATCTAAGTAGCAATAAACTGAATAAGTGATTGAAAGACATGAAACTGAATCTATGAGGAAAAAAAGAACCACTCGACGGACAGTGCTAGAAATCCAGTCGCCCTGCTCAAGGCCAATTAGAAACTTCCTCAAGAATGTTTAAATTCTTTCCTTAAGAATGTTTCGATTGGTACTTCATCATTCACAGGTTCATATCCAAATTCCTGACGGAAGGCGAGGCCCCGTCATGATGATAAATTAGAAATGGGATGATATGCGTATAGTGGCGTAACTATCATTTCAATATGTGGTGCACAATCTTGTAATGTATGAGATGAGAGATAATTCTAGGAAGTCGTTGGAACCTTTGAACCTGGTAATCAAACTATGATCGACGAATTCGAGTAATTTATTGCTATGTACGTATTTATGTCTACCAAAGTTGTTAACCATAAACAAATATGGAACGTTAGAGGGCTCATCACCAGTGCTCATCACTCACTGGTGAATATTGTCTACGGGTTTCAACTAAAACAGTAATAATTCGATATGAGGTAGATCGGTAAATCCATATTTGCATGACTGTCTTTACAAGTCTTTTGCTATGTGGGTTGGCAGGTGATGATTTTTAGTAACAGTTTGCGGATAGCTGTTATAATCATAACGACATTCCATCTTTATCTTGTCAAGAGGGAATTAGTGAAGTGAGAAACTCGTGAGGATTTCCTCAAATTGTCATTCAAGTCCATGGAAAAAAGGTCATGCCGGGAAGCAGAAATAAAGGCTTGGTGAAGATTTGGATTTTATTGTGTCATTACCTTATAATAATAAGATGATGCTGCTACTGTATAGAAGGATCTCGGAAGTGAAGCGGGAAAAAGATGGATGGGTAGAGCGCTCTGATCTCCATGAGGTTATTCTCTTCGCTGATAATGATTAAAGGAAGGGAGTTGTTTGATGACACACTAATTCCACTTTCTCGCTCTATCCTTTTTTCTCTCCATTATAGCTGGGTGCAAGTCTCCGGTGTTGTTGTTCCTTGGCCACAAAATTCTAACCAATTAATTTGAATCTAAGGTATATACATATCTTCAAATTAATTGGTTAGAATTTTGTGTAAATGACAGCTATAATGAAGGGATGGAGAGAGCACGAAGTGTACCCATTACTTGGACACTTTCATCTCCAATGTTAACTTTCTGTAGCTAAAATCACGGAGCTAGCTTGTATCCAAGTGATATGGCACAATTATAGATTAATGGATTGTGGGATGGTAATTTTCACCGAGCTCTAGCCATAGTGGTTTGGAGGCAGATATTGTGAATGGTCCGTTCGCGATGTGACCTTTTCCAGCGTGCTGTTTGGAGAGACATGTGACCCACTGGGATCGGAAGAAGATGGGATGAGAGTGTCATGGTTGGGTGATTGAAGTTTGACGGGCTACAGATATCTTGTGACGTTATTTTAAGCAATAGTGCTACGTTCAACAAAGGTAATGGTGTGAGCGTTGTTGATTATAATGGATATTTTGTCAGCAGCGGCTGTGAAGGTGATCGCTGCAGGTTGTCAGTGTATGATGATTTTACAATTGAAGGATGAATGAGTAGAGGAGGAAAATAAAGCTGTATCTTTAGATTTAGGATCTATCCGAGGGAAAGGCGAGGAGAACAACTCAGAAACTCCCGGTTTAAAGTATATTAGGAGTAACAGTCTATTACTTTTTATCCATTTTTTTGTTCCACACACTTTTTCTTTCTTTTAACTTTCATTTACTTCTTTTGTACGGGGTGAATAATAATAATATGATAACTTTTTGATTGTGGACCAGGAATTTATGTGAAATCAAAATTACGGATAGCAGTGATTATGTCATGTTAACAGTCACGTGATCGTGCTTCTAAGAGACTGGCGATAATGATATTACAGTATTACTATAATATCGTTATCGCTGGTCGTGATTATATTAGTAGAAAAAATATTTGCAAGTTTGCATCTTTGTTTATTCTTTTCTTCATTGTCACCTCAGATCTTTCCACTACTATCTAGAATAAAGTTATTGGTGGCACCAACTATTAATTCCTTCACAACATCTTTTTTTGTCGTAAATTCTCACGATAAGGGCGCGAAAGGAATTTTGTCGTACAAATAACTAATCCTTTCTTGTTGAACCCCTTACTTGGTCTTTTTCATATTTTGGTTTGTATGTCATTTCATCGTTCTGTATGTTTAGATTGTTAAAATCATGTGGTTATAAGTCGTAGAATGGAAAGTGCTTTCAGGCAAGTCTTAGGAAGAAAGTTCCCTGCAAAAATTTGCGATGCTTTTCTTCCTTAAATAGATCACAGTCTGTTTTAAAAGAAACTGGTGAACAATGGGTTGCGTGAACAGTACCGATCAAAACGCGAAAGCAAGATCAAAGCAAATAGATGAACAGGTATTTTTTTCTGAAATTCATTTTTTGTTGGAACAACATATAGCTATAGCTATCCTTTATTTGAATGGCATTGTTTACTTCAGTAGCCATGAGTAAGTAATTTCTGTTATGGACGTCAATGATTTGTCAATATTTCTAGTTAAAAGCAGATGGAGAAAGGGCATCTCGAGAAGTGAAACTGTTGTTATTGGGTGCAGGAGAATCTGGCAAGAGCACCATTGTGAAGCAAATGAAAATTATTCACGAAACTGGTTACAGTGATGAAGAACGCAAAGCTTATAAACCTGTGGTGTACTCGAATACAATTCAAAGTATGATGGCAATCATACGAGCTATGGGGCAGCTTAAGGTAATCATTTTTGGTTAATGTATAATAAATTATAGGAAGTGTTGTTGTAGTGTCCATAACTAAGTTCCCGTACACTTTCGTCATTGACATTGAATGTAATTATTTACGATCGTCATTTAAGAAGAAAGAAAATCACGCAAAATGCTCGTATTTACAGATAGATTTCTCAGCAGATGTACGAAATGAGGATGCTCGCCAGTTTTTCATGTTAGCCCAAAGTTGTGATGAAGGAGAATTGCCTCCTGAGTTAGCTGTTTGTATGAAACGTTTATGGGCAGATCCAGGAGTTCAGGAATGTTTCATGCGTTCCAGGGAATATCAGCTGAATGATTCGGCTCCATATTATCTGAATTATCTTGACAGGCATGTTTCTTTTTCAATAGTCACTCAAATTTTGTGACTGTGCAAATCATTGCAAATCATTTTATATTTTAAAATTTCCATAGCTATCGTATCAGAGTAGTGTTAATTAGTTATTGATTAAAAAATAAGCAGATAGAACTTATGCTGTAGTTAATATTTTAAAAAATCATGATTACAAAAAAGATTATTATGTCCACATAATTTGGGTCGTGACATACTGTGACAAAAATTTTCTAGTGTAATCTGCTTTCAGGATATCACAGCCTGGTTATGTACCAACACAAGATGATATTTTGAGGACACGTGTGAAGACAACAGGGATTGTTGAAACGCATTTCACTTACAAGGATTTGCATTTCAAGTGCGTTGTCAAAATGGCGCGATACTTTTTTCTAATGATATTTCATATTCACCGGATCATTTAGAAGTAACTGCTTTTAGAATGTTTGATGTTGGTGGGCAACGTTCTGAGCGTAAAAAGTGGATTCATTGCTTTGAAGGTGTAACAGCTATTATCTTTTGTGTAGCAATGTCCGAGTATGATATGAAGCTTGCAGAAGACGATGAAATGGTAAGAATGTTGTCTTTTTCCTTTCGTCTTATCCATTCACTCATCATTTTAATTGAATTTTTATCATTATTGAACAGTTGCAGGGTGCTAATTCCAATCTTTTTTGACGTGGGCTTGTTGCATGACTTTTTTTCGGTGGTTCGTTATCAGTAATTTGGCCTTAGCTTACCAGTAATAAAGGATAGTCTTTTCTAGGTTTTTTTAAAGCTTTCCGAGCACTCGTCACATATTATTTGGCTTTTGCTACTTTAATGTTGCCATAAGATTGCAAGATTGAGTGTTGTGGAATCATGTTTCTCAGGTCAATGATTGCAGAATCGGATGGTGGAAAGCATGAAGTTGTTCGACTCAATCTGCAATAATAAATGGTTTACAGATACGTCAATAATATTATTCTTAAACAAAAAAGATCTTTTCGAAGAAAAAATAAGAAAATTGCCGTTAACATTATGTTTTCCAGAGTATACCGGTCAGTACTTCAACTATATTATTTTGCTTACTAAATAAGTATCATATTCTCTCTGAACATTTACGCATGCTTTGATGCTATCTTGTATCGCGCTTTCTGCTGACATAAACTTTATTTTAGATGAAATTATTTTAAATACATAATCCTCCTTAATTTTCATATGTGTTCGTCATGAATCGTCAGTTCAGGTACAAACACATATGAAGAAGCAGCCGCTTACATACAACTACAATTTGAGAATTTGAACAAGCGAAAAGATGGTCAGAAAGAAATTTATACCCACTTCACGTGTGCAACGGATACAAACAACATACGCTTTGTGTTCGATGCCGTTACCGACATAATAATTAAAGAAAACTTACGACAATGCGGTCTATTTTAAGTGCTACATGCAGTAATGATTCATCTATAGTGATGATCTTGGCTAAGATGTTAAATTAAATATTTTGAGTCAAATTTGAACAAAAAATGTTGAACGGTCGAAATTTCAGCTTCTGCATAGGTTTGGTATTTTTGATGGTTTCAATCGTTTAATTATTTTTAAATTTATAAGAATTACAGCAGGAGTTTTTGGCGTAATAGCCAACGAAATAATAATTATTTCTTAATTCCTTCTACTCTTATCTGAATGTTGTGTCACTGTGTCACTAATTAAACCAGATTTAACATTTTCTGCATTTTGCACGTATTTTGTTTGTTTAATTTATGTTTAGTTTCACTATCTCTTCCCGTAACCTTTCGCTAAGGATTACGTGGATGATGTGTACAGCAAACCACTCGCAACTTCCAGGTACTGTCGCTGCCACTTTCCAGTTTATATCTATTACTTTCTCCAATCCTTCAGTTTATCCAATGAATCAATGTCTTCAACGATTTTAAAATTAAAAATCATCTCGAAGTTTAGGAAGTTTAATTAAAAGATAGGTGCTTATCCAACCGAAGTTAGTATTCTCTTTCATTATCTCTTTCATTGCTTGCATGATGGTTTTGTTGGTGTATAAAGATGCATTTTTGTCTATATAATTGCCACCGAAATGCATTAATGTTTTTTGAGGCTTTCTTCCTATAAAAGCCTGTAGCGAGGATCTTTATCGCTTTTAGTGCATTTAGATACAGTTCGTGGTCACTGGTCTCTGATTTATTTTCCTGAATGTCTATTATTAGTTCGAATTGCGGTTGAGTTACATATTTATTTAGATCCCAAGCATGTTTTAAGTATTGTAATCATTACGAAGTTTGTGACAGTCTTTGTCAATGTTGTTATCGTATATGATGAGACAGAGTTTCGAAAGCTATGATTTTTTGGAACTGCTACCCTGGAAGTATTTTCCGAGTAATATAGTAAAGTTGTTCAGCGCTAATATAATGTATGTTATAGTGTTGCCCGTTACCAGTTGCTACAAAAAATGCTACTGCTCCATTTTTTGCTGTTATTACTGTCATATCAGTTTGTTTTGCTTTTTTTGCTCTGGGAAGAATTCTCAAACTGAGCTTTATTTATCTTTCCCTCTCATAATTATCAAAGCGATGTTATCTAATGAATATATATTTACATATTCGTTCGTTCTAATTTTACCCTTTTTCATTTAATTTGCTTGGTTGTTGAAAATAAATTTCGCTAATGTGCAGTATTAATTTGTGTTTGCAAGATTACAGCGTACAGTGGAGTTGACCAGGTAACACAATTTGAAATTTTGAGCATTTGACGTCAGAAAATACCTGCGTTGCTGTAATATCATGTTGATGGAACCCAGTGCGTTGGTGAGTGATGATTTGCTACAATAAGTCCCTTCATGAAACAGAAAAGAGAAAATCTGTGGAGTCAGGTTGAAATATGAAGTGAGACTTCTATCTTTCAATTTCAATCAAAAATACTTTCAATTAAATTGTAGGACTTGACGGATAGGAAGCTACGGTGTGGTGCGGATGCTCGGGCTTAACCAATCAGAGTGTAGTGAACACATAAATCTGTGTGACCGGGTCTTAATGTGTATTTGCGTTGTTATATATATATATATATATATATTCCCTTTGAGATCTTCGTTGTTGACTCCCTGTCAAGGGTTTTTTTCATAAGTATTAGAGCTTTTCATAGATTGCAATAAATCTGTTTGACTAGTGTTGGCACTGTTAACTGCTCGGAAAATACTCAAATAGTGCCTGACTGAGGCAATCTTATAAAACGATAAAAATTCTACTGTCGACTCTGTGCGTTTTCAGTTTATGGATAGAAAAAAGTATAATAATATTTGTTGGAGGAATGAATGTGAGATATTTGTTACAGATGTATAAAATATCAGGTAACATTTTTTCGGTCAAGGACGTTTATCCGCTTTACAAGCAACATTTAGCGGTCGAAGTATGTGGGAGAAAGAAGGTGGTAGGTGGAGCGGAGAAAAGGAAAGATACACAACATTGCTTGGAATCTCACAGCTGTCCAGATTCTTTTTTAGCTTGTATATGAAAAATAACTGCTTTTAATTTTGGAGCTTAACTTAATTGATTATAATGAACTGATAGAATTTAACTTAGCCCACTGAAACAAGTGAAAATAAGCGAGACTAATTTTAGAAAGCAAGTAATAGAATCTTTTAAATTAAAAAAGATTCCGCAGAATTTAGAATAACATGATGCCCTAGATAAAACTGAAATATCACTGGAAAGGTGACCTATACAACCAAAAGAAAAAGTGAAAGACACTATTAAACTTCATAGATATGGTCCTTCTAACTGGTAACTTAAATAATTCGCTTTAACACACACTGAAAATAACACAAAGAGCAAATTGTCTTAAAATGAAGATTTCGTTAAGACAGAGTAAGAGTTGTTTTCACATTTTGCCCAACTTGAATTGCAATGATGAGATGTTGATAGTGAATAAAATATATAAAGTATTCAAGGTTTCAAGCTGTTTGGAATTCCATTCATCTGTATACAATTTGTTGAAATTGTTTACTCGTTGCAATCGATGCAATTGAAATTCATTCATTGAAATGCCGAAGAAATGTTAGGACTGATTCGAGTTGCTACTTGCAAATTCTAACTTTATGGAATTTATTTTGACCTTGCATCGTACTAAAATGGTTGCAGTCACAGTATTGCCCTCCAATAAATGAGAGTTAATCTGCTTTTTGCATAATTCCGATGAAGAACACATTAGAATTACTCCATCATGTAACTTTTTTTTCTAAATTCTTTTCCTTTTACTACACTGAAATAGATGACGATCACTGTTAGATAAGCGAAGGAGCTTATTTCGTAGTAGAAAAATTGGAAGGAGGTTGCAGATCAGAGTTCCGTTACCCATGGATATTGAAGAACAAGAGTCTGAGAAGAGGGGTGAAGGAGTGATCGAAAATGATGATGATGATGATGATGACGCGATTATCGATATGTGTATTTAAATGTAAAGAAATTTAGGCCGATGAACGATCGTTGAAAGATGGGAATGAGGTCAAGGGGGAATGACTAAACAACTAACAGGGCAGGTGTGATGATAAGGTGTGTATCATAGTATATACCCTAACAGTAACTTCAACAACTACCACAACTTGTCATTTGAATCATATTAACTAAGCGTACCAGCCTACTATAGCCACCCTTCCTTATTAGAAGTAGCCAGTCATCACATCAATTCCAAAAATAATCAGATATAGGATTTCAGGTAATTATCGATGGTATCTTGTGCTCTGTTATCGTTACTGTTATTTCTAACATCATGTGCAAGGATAAGCTTGGCTGTGTTCGAGTGTGGAAGTCATGAAACAACGGCCTTTGTGCGCATAGCGCGAGCGCGCCTCTCCGGAACACCAGTTGTCGTAACCGCTGCTGGACATGACCTCATGTGCGCGCAGTACTGTCGTGATAACATTGAACCAACAACGGGAGCTCAACGAGTCTGCGCTTCATTCAATTTCGACGGCCGTCAAATATGTTATTTCTTCGATGATGCCGCCACTCCAGCCGGTACAGCTGATCTGACATCAAATCCAGCAGCAAACAACTTTTACTACGAGAAAACATGCATCCCAGGAGTCAGCGCATATGAAGCATGCACATACCGATCATTTTCATTTGAACACATCCGAAAAACCGCTCTGGAAGGATTCGTTCGCAAATCCGTCCAGGTAATCTAATCGATTTTGTGTTCTTTTAACAGGTACTACCGCAATTAGCACGTAGCACAAGTATCGGTGTAATAAGCTGAAATTACGATCTGACTATGAGTATACCTATCGCGGATCGTATTTCAAATGTGTAACTGCTACTTCTAAACTATTATTTGATGCACACGCTGCAAATAGATTTGCTTAAAGTTGGTTGGTCGAAATGTGCAACGTTTTTTCCATTCTCCAGCAGTTGTAATTTAAAATCCACACCTTCAACAATTTTCATTAGAAGACTAATCAGTTTTACGTGTTTCAAAAGCTAATTTTTTTAATTATTCAAGATTCATTCATACTTTGAAGGAATTATTCTCAGTTTGACATCCTGGCTGTCAAAATCAATAACTTGTAAGTCAGTGGAAGCACTGATCACCATATATCACTCCCGTTCAAAAAATTAAGCAACATTTACGTAATTCAATAGGGAATGGTGATGTATGAAATATCGAAACAGGAACAATAAAACATAGTTTCAAGTAATTAGAAGGTTGAAGAAAGAGTTAATAGATCAAATTAATTAAATTAAACTTAGTGAAGAAAAGTATTAACTTGCCATCTATTTTGCTTTACCATTCCCAAAGGAGATTGAATTTGCTGGAAACAAAATGAATTGTGTTTCATTCTTCGAGTATGATTTGCAGTTAGTATTTCGAAATCTTCGGTCTTCAAAATCTCAATAAATGATGTTTTAAGGTTGGATCTCGCGAGCAGTGTCTATCAGCATGTCTTAAAGAAGAAGAATTTGTTTGTCGTTCAGTAAATTACAATTATGACACTTATTTATGCGAATTATCAACAGAAGATCGGCGCTCCAAGCCAAATCATTTGCGATACAGTGATTCACTCGTCGATTATTATGACAACAACTGCCTTTCACGTAATTTATTTATAGTTGCTCAAATCCTGGAAAAGATTTTTTTCCCCTACACTGTTCTAAATTTCCGTATTTAGAAATACAGAAATTTAGGCTGAGAATTGATTTCCACATACGGATGATGCATATCTATACAGGTGACAGTGAAAACATTAGTGAATTGAATGGATGTATGTATTCCTCATTACACCATTCTTATGATTTCTAATTGCCTAAATTCCCATCACATAAATTCGGACTGCGTCTTATTCAAAGGTATTCCGACATTTAAACTGATTTAATTAATTTTTTTAGGTCAAAATCGATGTGGCGAAGCGGGTGGTAACCTGGTTTTCGTAAAAA